CAGGAAAAACCCGGGGACCAGCAGGGGATGTTAAATAAACTGCAGTCAGCAGAAAACCTTGCAGCCGTTAAAGAGTAAAAGATCCGTGTGACAGGCCCAGAGGATGCCCAGGGTCTATGACTAAGTGAAAAAAAAATAGTAAAAACAGGAAGTGAGGTCCAGCACCAACTTTTATTAAAAAGAAACAGAAACGATCTATGCCAGAGGGGCAGTAGATATGCGCCGAATTCCCTTAGTGTGGCTGCCTCGAGGGTGGGCACTGACGCTCCCTGTGTGATACGCTTAATGTTATTTGAATTTTTAAAGGATTAACTATATGTTACTTATTTATTTCAGAATATGTTTTAAACAAAATATAAGTGGACAAAAGTAATTAGTTTAAAATTATGGTTTCAATTCCAGAGAGTGAGCTGAATGAAAATTCTAAGAAGTAAGATCTGCTGTACATCGGTAAAGCTGGAATGTTTTACAGACACGTGTAAATGTTGCTGTCGGTGGGGGGAGTGTTTTAAAGAAACTACCAAAAAAGTGTTTTCTTTGAAACTCAGCTGCTGGTATTTCGCCGGCTTTTGAAGCAGTCTGTGTTACCGTTCTTCTCCTGGGCGCGGTGTGCCTGTGTGCTGACAGCGCAGCACAGTGAATGTCTGCATCCTCCTCACTCTGGAGAGAGCCCGGAGGGCACCCCAGACGCCCTCTGCGAGGGCCGTGGAGCCCGTCTGAGTGCAGAAGCGCACCAGCTATTACCTGAGTTGATGAGCTTCGTGCGACTGCTTTCTAATGATTTTTATGAAGACTGATTAAGCAGTTCTGGGAGGGCCCCCTTCCAGGCTGCAGAGGGCCACCTGCTCCCTATGTCCTCATATGGTGGGAGGAGCCGGGGCTCTCTCGGGGCCGTTTCATCAAAGCATTCATCCCGTTCATGAGGACACAATCCTCATGCTCTCATCACCTCCCAAAGGCCCTACTTCCTAATCATCACTCTGAGGGGTTAGGATTTCAACATATGAATTTGAGGGGGACACAACATTCAGGCCACAGGACCATCTTTTACTTCTGCTTTCCTCTCTCATGGTTCTACTCTCAGGCAGGAACTACCCTCATGGAGGCAGAATGGTTGCCTGAGCTCCAGGCTTGCATCCTATCTCCCTGAGTTACCCCAGTCAGAGAAATTCCTTTCCCAGTGGCCCATGACCATCCGGTCTCTAATTATATGGGACCCATATCCATCCCTAACCCCAGCACTGTGGCAGGGGGCTGTAAGGTAATTACCTGGTTGGCCAGCCTGAATCCCTAGGCCAGCTCTGGACACAGAGGTGTAAAGTACCCCCACCCAAAACAAATGGACTGAATGTGGGGGAGGGGTGATGCCCATGGAAAAATCACAGTGCTGTTGCCAGGAGACAGGAATAGACACAGGCACATCTCGGCGGTATCACAGGTTCGGTTACAGGCCACTGCGATAAAGCAATTATCGCCTAAAGGGAGACGCACGACTTTTGTGGTTCCCCAGTGCGCGTGCCGCTATGGTCCCACTACACCGGGGTGCCCGGTGCGTGTGACATTACGTTCACACTACACTGAGGTCTATAAAGTGTGCGGTGGCATTATGTCTAAAAAAACAAAGTACATACCTTAATTTAAAAATACTTTCTTGCTAAAAAAGGCTGGCCATGCGCCTTCACCGAGTTGCAGTAGTGATATCAAAGATCACTGATCACAGGTCAACATAACAAATATAATAATAATGAAAAAGTTTGAAATGGTGTGAGAGCTACCAAAATGTGACAGAGAGACATAAGTGAGCAAATGTGTAGGAAAAGTGTCACCAACAGACTTGCTCAACGCAGGGTCTCCACCGACCCTCAGTCGTAAAAACCTCGACGTGCGATCAAACGAGGTGCACTTGTACGCGGCCAGCCAAACGACAGGTGCCAATCTTGTTCTGGGGCGGGCCCCACGCGCGGCACGCCAGTCTCTGGCATGTGGGGATGACGTCTGTTCACCTCCCATGATGTTCGGAGCATTTGCTAGGTGTTGTGTCTGGACAGTCGACATTGATTCGCGCCCCATGCACCACAGACCTGGAGGACAGAGACCCATGCCTGCCCACGGATGAGAAGCTCCCACACAGGGTGGAGGAGGCAGAAGACACTGAGCTGCTCCAGCAGCTGCAGAGGATGCTGATGGCAAATGCATGTTTCTGTAGCCGCCTCTGTGTTCCCCTGCCAGCCACCCCCCTCGGGGCCACAACGCAGACGTGTCAGCAAGGCTGCCCTGCGGTTTTCTGGCTTCTGGGCGACGGCACTCGCTTGTCCTGGAATTCCACTCACAGTGACAAACCTGAAAGCTGGATGCAACCCCTCCTGACGTCCCTCCTCCAGGCTCTCTGAAGGACTGATAAACACCTCCTTCTGTTCATCCAGGCCCTTCCCTTGGAAATACCTAGTGTTGCTTCAGTTTTCCTAACTGTGAACCTGGGTAGAAAATTTTAAGAAGCTCTAATCTGTCCAGACTTCTCTTTTTCTGAGGAGAAAACGGAGGTCCGTGGGGAACCACCTGTCATGTTGACCGGTTTGCAGACTTTCCCCCTGAGCCTGCTCGGCTCAGAGCCGTTGTCACGAATGGCATAGCTACTTAAACTGAAATGAATTACAACTAAAGCAAATTTAAAACGTGCTTCCTCAGTTGCTCTCACCGCATTACAAGTGCCCGGCGGCCACCGTACGGGAGTCACACACACGTTATGCTACAGAACACTCCCATTGTCACAGAAAGTTCTTCTGGACAACGCTGTTCTCGGCAATCATAGCATAAGCCTCTGCCCCTTTTGACATTAATGTTCTTCTTAGTAAATAACAGCCCAAGAAGAATGATTCTTTCCAAAGCATCGTGTTCCAAGCGGGGAAACCGAAGCCCAGGGTCAGGGGGTGACTCAGGGCTAGCCGGGGGCCCAGCAGAGCCAAGCCTTACTTGCCGCCACTAACCTGACTCATCGAGCAGTCATTCAAATCAAAACAAATCAAAAATGAATACTCTCGCGTCAAATACAACACTAATCTGGGAGACAATTTCAAGTCATTTAAAATACCACACAAACTAAGAAACAAAAACCCCGCTAACCTTCCAAAGAACAGGAAAGGAACAACCAGGCAGTCGTTACTGTAGGTAACCCATCAGCACATTTTTTTCAATGGATTCAACCAACTGTGTTTTGAAGAGTGTGGCGCTAGGTTCTTGTAGTTGTTATTATTATTCCCAGGTTAGACCGCATTTTGCATCTGATCCAGATCCAGAGATTCTAAGCAGGACCTTGAGTGGGCTGCGTGGGGACACGGTCCGCAAGAGCCCAGTGACGCGGGCCAGGGTGCGTTCTGGAGATCACGGAACACGCCTGTTTTCTGCGAGTTGGTCCCTGGGGAGAAATCCGTTCTTGATAAAAGGACTTGACTGGATCTTTTTTACAAACCACTGTGGGAGTGTGTTTTCCTGGGAAGAACCGTGAGTGTTCTGGAGGTGGCAGCCATTGCTTCTTAGAGGACGTTTTCCTCTCTGCGCCGTCCTGGAAAGGACATCCAGGCTCCGTCCACCTGGGGGTCCGGGGATGCCCCTCTCGGAGGCAGTGAGGAACATGGCGGGACACAGCATCTGCGGCCCCTGAAATGAAAGCTTCAGGGGAACCTTGAAGGAAAGCAATGTGCTTTTCCTCAGCGTAAGGTTTCCTCCCCCAGAACAGCTTCAGAGACTGTCGGAAGCTGGGCATCGTTCCAAAGGTTAGAGACGGGGCCAAAACATATCATTTTAGCCTTTTCAGATGGCCATTTCTGTCTCCAAAATGTTAAATACTGTCTCACCACAGTTGCCAAAGCCCATCCCCCAAGCACAGCCTGGCGGTGAGCCTAACTCTGGTGTCCGGGCACAGGAGACAGTGAGAGGCAGAGACGACCACGGTCGTCCCACTGCCCGGGACCTCAGAGAAAGGGCTCGGGGCCTCAGAGACAGGAGGCCTGGGTTCATGATGGGGCTTTGCTTCCGGAGGGCTCACCGTAGCCCCAGTTAAGCCATGGGCTCTGGCCTCCACTCCTGCTGTAAACAGGGAGGTGGGACCAGGGCTGGCAGGCGGAGAGGCATGCTCACGTGTGCCCACTCAGACCCGGGGGGTGCAGCCTGCAGGGCTCAGAGGAGGCTCAGCAGTTCAGGAGAAGTGTGCTGGGTGGGAAAGGCCTGAGCACAGGGCTTCCCTTGGCCGGCGCTTCATCATTGCTGCCTGCTAGTCTTCAGTATTTACTATCTGACTTACACAGTAACTCCTGCTTCTCTCTGCAGTCATCAGATGCCAGCCCACTGAGACAGAACTGAAGCAACGCAGAAGTTCATGGCAAAAGGGCAGTTGACCACAGGTGAGTTCTGAACTAAGCACGGCTCTTTCTCCAGCCTCTGGGGTTGAGCAGCTATCGGCAGGGTGGGCGGCCACCTCTACTGCAGCAGAGGCTGCCAGTGCCCTGCCCTCACACTGCCATCCTGCCTTAGCGCCCAACAGCCTCCCATGGCAAGTTCCCAAGCCCTACCCGAGGGACTTCCTGGCCACAGACACTCAGACCTCGTTTATGCTGGGAAGTGCCACCCCCACCCCCAGGAGCAGCCCTCAACCAACCATGAACCAGAATGGGGGGTGAATAAGCCAGCGTCCTTGCCCCACGAGTATGGATGGAGGAAGGACAACTCTGAGGCATGTTCTGTGATCTCCCAAGGTGTCCGGTGCCCTCAGAAGCCGCCTCCTGGTTAGGGCCTGTCTATCGGCCCTGCCCCTTCCCTGCCCCACTCCCTGCCCCCACCCCCACCTGTGTTTCCTGGGATCGCCTCCGGGGTGAGCTCCTCGTCCCTGATCCTCGTCTCAGGCTCTGCTTCTGGGGAGCCTGAGCTTAGAAATGTGTCCTGTGATTGAGAGCATGTTGGGAAGGCTCTTTCCTCCCTGTAACATCTGCTGCCACAGGCCCATCACTTACCCCTGAATCTCGCCGTTCGCGATTCGCGCCTGCAGGGTTGAAAGATTGAAGTCTGGTCATGTGAGCCAGCAAGCCCCCCACCACGGGGTAAACACCAAAGGAAAAGGCAGGGGCTCAAAGAGGTATTTGTACACCCCTGGTCACAGCAGAGTCGCTCAAGGTGGAAGCAGCCCACGTGTCCGACGACCGATGAGTGGATAAACAAAATGTGGTCCATCCACACAGTGGAATATTATTCAGCTTTAAAAAGGAGGGAAGTTTTGACACCTGCTACAGCACGGATGAGTCTTGTGGACATTACACTGAATGAGGTAAGCCAGTCACAGAAAGACAAATTCTCTGTGATTCCACTGGTCCCAGATCCCTAGAGCATGCAAAATCATAAGGCAGAAAGCAGCGTGGTGAGTGCCAGGGCTAGGGAGGGAACGGCGGGAGCTGGTGTCGACCGGGGACGGAGTTTCAGTCTGGAGGCCAGCTGGCAGTGGCGGTGGCCCAACGGCATGGACATGCTTACCGCCACTGGACTGTACACTTTGAAAACGGTTACGATGATCAATTTTATGTTATTTAAATTTTAAATGTTTAAAAATAAATTTTGAGGTCTGGAAACAGGCAAACCACAGCAGGGGACATCACATCAGTGTTTCTCCCTGCCCCCAGGAACACGCTGGTGGTGGCATGTCCTGGGACCGCATCACCAAGGCACAAGTCCTAGGTGACACCTGGACTCCCCCATCTCCCTCACCCCAGACCCACCCATAACAAAGCCCATTATTATTCCCACCCCGACCTGCATCCACGCCGCCCTGGTGCCCCCGAGAGCCACCCCTTGCTCCCATCTGGCTGCCACGGAGTCTGACCAGAGCCCGCTCCAGGCCTGCCTGCCCGGCTCAAGCCTTCCCATGGATCCCCAGAGCTTGGGACCAAGTGTCCCGAATTTCTGAGACACACGTTTGCCCAGCGGCAGTCCAGCCACAGCCTGCACCGCTGCCAGCCGTCCGCACGGGCTCTGACAGAGCCATGCACCCTGCACCCTTGTCCGCCACGCCACTGCTCCAGCTCGCTTTCATCTAACAAAACTCGCTTTATCAGAAACCTCATGTCTCTGCAAATGGAGAACCCAAAGTGGGGGCCGTCAACAGAGGGCAGCCCTGGAAATAAATGCCTTGGAAACAAGACAATGCGTCTTTGCGGCTAAGCAGACGCTCCAGCTGCCTGGAAGCTCTGAACTGAGGCTTCTCTCTGTTAAAAACGGAGATCAGCAAGTGATGAGAGAGGGGAGGCAAGGCAGAGCAGGCCTGTCAGAGAGGTTTCCCTGTCCCACGATGAAGTCTTCAACCAGGAGCAAAAGAACATCACTTTCTGCATTTTTAATGCAGATGCATTTGCCATCAAGCCTGCTGTCCCACCTAAACCAGTAGCATGTGGCTCATACTGTGGGAGACACGATCTTCAGTAAGAGGGGCAAATGGCTTCACCTCCCCTGCCCGCTCTGATCAATTGGTGGTGGCTGCCCAGGGCCACACCCTGGGAGGGATTCCATGGAGAACGTGCCCTGAGAGTCTATTGCCAGCTTAGTGGGACGAACACTGTGATCGATTAGCAATGCCTGCCAAGGGCACAGGATGGGGAGAACCTGTGTCATACGCTTGGCTTTCTCTGGTCCCAGCTCCTTCTCTGACCCAGCCCTGCTCTCCGAGCTCATGTCAGCTCAGCCCTTCTTAGCTCTAAGGGTCACTCTGGCAGCTTGTTTGAAACTGTGTTTGCTCACTCCTACCAGCCCTGAAGGCCAGCTTTATGATTCCTACTTTCTGCCTGCGTTGGGGGAAAGGCTGGAGGAGGTGACTTGGCCAGGGTCACACAGCTGGGAAACGACAGAGCTGTGGCACCAGCCCAGGTCCCTGGCTCCAGACCCGGTGCTCTGCCCAAATCCCAGCGGGGACCGACTCCTGGAAACTTGACCATGACCCACAATATACGGCAGCGACTGAGTCAGGAGGGGGAGCGTCTATCTGTGCTTGTCTCACAGTCAGATCAGCTGCCTTGTCCTCAGGCAGTGGCTGTACCATCCGAGTAGACACAACAAACTTTTAATAACTCTACACAACTCTAAACCAGAAGTATATTTTCACTCCTGTGAGTCAGCCATTTATTTGTCAATAAAGGCCAGTAAAGGAAAAGGCCCAGGGGCAGTTTATAAACAGACCGTATCCTCTGGAGACATCTCGGGGGAAGTCGAGCCGTCTAGAAATGCGCTGGCCCCTGGAAACCTTCCCCCGGAACAGACGAGCGCCGAGAGCCATCTGGGAAATGGGTTGCAGGCCTTCCAGAGGCAGGGGTGTCAGGGCGGCAGAGGGACAGCGCACGGCCTCGAGCAGACCTGCATCCCAGCTCCACGCAGGAAGCGCAGGGCAGAGGGCTTAGCTCTGCTGAGCCTTGGCTCCACACCTGCAAGGTGGGCCAGGTGAGGCCAGACTTTCAGGGCTTCGTGGAGATTAGAGGAAATCAAGAACCTACTGGGTCGTGCTCGAAAGTCACCTGTGATGGTGATCAGGGTGCTGGCAGTGATGGGGTGATGGTGGTGTGATGATAAGGGGGGTTCAATCAGTATTCATTCCCCAAAAATGAACTGCAGTAGCTGAACACCTACTGTGCTCTGGTGCTCTCCACACGTCAGGAGAGAAGGAGGGTGAAGTGAGTGTAAATGCAGCTTCTCTGAGAAGAGTGAGAAGGGGAGGAACAGGAGCTCTGTCTCGCCGGGGTACTGTCCGGCAGGACAAAACTAAGGAGCGACAGCCTGGGACCAGCAAGTCCTTTTCTGAGTATACCCCCAGTCAAAATGAGGGATGTGTTCTTCCAGAAGGCGGGTGCAAGGACGCTCCCAGCAATGTGACCCCGAGCCGTCGAGAACGGCAGACAACCCAGCAGGAGCATGAGGAGCCGTGGTTTATCCGTACGCTGCAGTGAGAAGGCACAAGCCACTGCCACACACAACCATGCGGGTGAGCCTCGCTACCACGGCACGGGAAGAAGGCAGCCCACGAGGGCACGCACCCCGCGAGGCCATTTATATGGCAGACAGAACGGATAAAACTAGCCCGCGCTGGTAGGAGTCAAAAGGGTGGGCACTTCTGGGGTGGGGGTGTTTACTGGGAGAAGGCACAAGGGAACCTCCTGGGTGACGGAAATATTCCCAATCATAGCCTGAGAGGTGCTCAAAAGAGTGTCCAGAATTTTATACATGTACGTGTGTGTGTGCGTATAAAAAGTAAGATATGATCATAGAAATGTCAAGGCTGGACACTGAGTCAGAGACTGCCTTGTGCTCCAGGGACTGCAAACTCAGAAGTCTACAAGGGCCAGGAAGGGAATGAGCCGCTGGCGTGGGCCAGTAGACAGACCCTAGGCTGCTCAGATTGCTCCCGAGGATAAGATCTGTGAGATACAGTGTGTTTTAAAATATTGTTGAACCAGAGGAAACAGCTAAGGCTGGCGTGCCCTCAGCCATCAGCTGCAGTCCGAAGCCACAGTCTGCAATCCTTCGCTCCCCAGTGGGGAGCACAGGGGCCCAGAGACGCAGAGGGCCTGCCCATGCTGGCACAGCTGAGTGACAGAAAGCAGGCCAGGAGAGGACTCCGAGAGGCAGCCTCCTTCAGACGCTGTGAAACGGGCAGCAGGCTGCAGGGGAAGAGCCCGGCGGGGAAGGTACAGGATACGGCCGTTTGTGCCCGAAAGCTCTAAGGCTCCTGGAGTAGGTCTCTCACCCTCACTCAGTGCCTCACTTTCTTTACCAAGTAGACAATGACTCTTGAGCATCGCCTGTTTGGCTACAGAAACTCCATGTTGCTCACATCTTTGCCATCCCTCTGGGGCGCCCCACTCATTGCAGGGGCTCAGCCACTCAGTCATCCTGGACCACACTGGTGGGAAGCTCTGAGAAAACACAGTAACTATGGAAACACAGCCAGGTTATCAAATGCAAGTTGCTATCCGGAACAGTGCATCACAGGAAGCTAGCCGTCAGCATCGACGGTGCTGAGGATGCTTGGGTTCCGGGACCCGATGTAGGACCGTGGCTTCTCCCTCCAGAGCACTTGGGGTCCGCCGTCACAAAGCAGGGAGACCAGTCCTAAATCTGTTTACAGATATCCTGTGGTCCAGTCACCAAACTGTCCAGTATGTGCTTTCTAAATGTGATTTAAACTGATCTATTTCATTAGGACCCTTGATTGAAGGTGACAAAAACACAGCACACTCTGGCTTAAGTAAACTGAGCTTAAGAATTTATCAGCTCCTCCAGCCGAATATCTGGGGCAGAGCGAGCCTCAGAGACTCAAATGCGGTCCTCTCTCTCTCCACCTTCTCTTTTTCCTTCAAGAAGAAAGAAATCACCACACTGACACTCTCCTGGGCAGAGTGAGATGATGTGGGAGAGAACTGAAAGGGGGGGACCATCTCTCCGGGTGGCTCTGGCTCAGCTCCGCCACCCACCGCCAGGCGGGAACCGCCACTGCAGGCAACTCCAGGCTCCCATCTTTCTCAAGGAGTAGCTGCCTCCCCGGTCCTGTGAGAAAAGTCCTGCAGTGGACTCTGATTGGCCCAGCAGGGGTCACGTGGGTGAAGCTGGGGCCAATCACTGTGGCCCAGGGTGGAGTCTGATGCAGACAGAAGCACTGGCGGCATCGCGGCAGCCAGCCCCAGCTATTTCTGGCACCTCCAACGAGGAGCTGTGGTTTTCTTTTCGTCTCTTCCCAACCACCTGCGCTAGCTCCTGTTGAGCTCCAGAAGCGTGATGAATGAGCAGGGTGTCAGGAAGAGAGGAAAGACTGTGTTGAAGGACGAGGAGAGAAGAGAGAAGAAATGGTGGCTACAGGGGTGCAAAGCAGACAACTGAAGTACGCATGGCAATCACTGTTTACAGGGCGTCACATTCCTCATCTCCGTTCCTCCACCGAAGCCCTGGGAGGTGGGGCGAGCGTTCAGGGCATGGATTGCCTCCAACTGCACCGGGGAGACAAGCAGACCGCAGGGGGGCCAAGTGACCACCTGCATTTGCTGCTTAGCTACGAAGAAGAGGAGGGAAAGGACCCAGGCTTTCTCACTGCCTCCCCCAGGGCTCCCTCCTCCCCTGCACTGACTCTGAACATCAGCCACCCGTGAGCGTGAGGCTTCCCGCAGCACAGACCGCTGCCCCACGATTTCACGAGGGTTTTCCTTTAAGTCGACGTACTCTTTTCACTTTCACAATTTTTAAAAGTAAAAACTTTGAAGGATGGCTGTCCATGGACAGTCAGTATCTCTTGATATGTGGGCTGTAACCAAAAGCAGATATGAGAAAAGCAAAGCAGTGTTATTCAGTGCCAGCCAGACATCGTTACCTGCCCACGGCTCTGTGCCCAGGCCTGGATCTGCCTTCCTGAAGTGAGAAGCCTGGCAGGTGTTAGAGGGAAGTGAGAGCCCGTCCCACTGACTGAGACTCTCCTTGGTGCAATCGGATGGCACGGAGGAAAACGGAAAGAGGAAACGCTTCCTCGCCGGGGGGCTCAGTGATACGTAACGTGCAAGATCGAATGTGGAGAAGCGTGTTTACTGGTTTCTACAGCGACTGTACCATTTTCCTTTCCCACTAGGAAAGCAAGAGTGATCCAGCGTCTCCTCACCTTCTCCAGCATTTGGGGAGTCGAGAGCCAGCGCCCACTGACACTGGCTGGAACGCCGCGCGTGCATTTCAGCTGAGGGTCCATTATCACTGATTAGTCTATTTTCATCCGTTTAGCGTCACTGACACCTGGGTATGCAGTCATGTTAATGATACCGTTTCAGAACAATCTAGTTAAACTAGAATAATACGTGAAGGAAGACAAGCATGTTTATTGTAGCTGCGTGTTCATGTTCAGGGTTATCTCTGCTCTCTCCTGTCCCCTCATTCCTGCTGGGTCTCAGCACGTGATGGAGCAGGGACCTGCCGCTGCAGCATTTGATGTCTTGTAACCGCAGGGCCAAACAAGTGAACACGTGTGTGTGTGTGTGTGTGAGAGAGAGAGAGAGAGAGAGAGAGAGAGAGATGGGGGCCGGAGAGGAATAACCAGAGAACGAAGTTATAGGCAGGGCCAAAGGGGATATTTCAAGGTAGATAAAAGGAAATATTAAGCCTATCAAAATGTATAATAAATTCTTCTACTAGAATTGACTCTATGAAGTTTTTTTTTTTTTGTAAATACATCAGCCTTAAGAAACTGTACTTTGTAGGGGAAGAGAAATTTGTTAAATGCAGGGACATAATCAGGAAAATCCAAAACGTGGGAAATGCCACGTGGTAAACGACCTATGTCTTCAAGAAGTAAATTGTCAAAAGAAAGAGAGAAGACAGTTACCAAAGGACTAAAAGCAGCCTATGAGACGCCGCCACCAAGTGCAGTGCGTGGCTTTGTCCAGATGCCAAGTCGAAGAACCCCGTTTCTTAACAATATGAGAAAATAGGGGGAAGTTAATGAGGATGTGTATGGCGTTTAGGAAAGTGTTGTCAATTTGTCACCAGAGTTTTGTGGGTGTTTCAAGAGTCTTTCCTTATATTTTAGAGATATCGGCTGAAATACTGAAGAATGCAATGATGGAAAATCCAGGACTTACCTCCAAGTCCAGGTTGATACTGTGGAAGCTTGGTGAGTACAGGGGGCATCCTCTACTCTTGTATGTGTTTTAAATGTTGTGTTGTAAAAAGTTTAATAGAAATCAGACATTATAAACACGTTAGAAGGCCCTCCTAAGTTCTGTTCCCTTAAAGCGTGTGGAGACCAGTCCTCGAAAACGCCTTCCAGCCCGTCCTTCTCTGGGCAGAACCAAGGTGGTAAATTAAAGGGTTTATCATTCCTGTCCCTCACTTGGCCATCGGCACGGCTCCTGGATGCAGAGCGGGCAGGACCAGGTCCTGGATTTGGGGGAGAGGGTCCTGACCAGTCTTCAAAGGAACAGGTTTTGCCCATTTCACAGCCCACTGAGAATTCACAGTTCTCTAATTGTGAACCAAACATGAACCTTTTTTCAGCTAGGGAGCTCATTTATGCTTGGCAAAAGGCAACATCTCATTTCAAAGCCAGGAAAGGAAGACTTTAAAAGATTTAAAACCCAACTCCGAAATCTCCTTGGACATCAAATAGAGTTTTGTTTTGTTTTTTTTTGAAACAAGGTTTTGATGAGTTAAGAGCAAATGAATCAGAAACATATGGATTAAATTCCCCTTAAAATCCACATGGGTTTAAAAAATGAAGGGGAATGGAGCTCGGCAAATATCTTTTTCGGTTTTTATCAAACCCCAAGCATTTTAAAAACAGCGTGAGATGGTCAGCAAATCCAAAATGCAGCTGAATTCATCCAGTGCTGACAGCGGGCCTCGGGAAAGGATCCGCTGAACAAGTTGGGGATGCCACGCCAGGGGGCTGGCAGCATCTCCTTCATCCAGCAAGCTCAGGTCTTCCCTCCGCACACCGGAGAGCTGTGAGCGGAAACCTCCAGCTAACGGTGCCACAAAGGGGTTCTGGTCTTCGTAGAGGCCCGTTCATCTTGATAACTGCATTCAAGGAAATTGCAAAAGGCAGCGTTTTCATTTTGTTTTGATCCCCACCCCTAAATCTGAGACACCCTCCATACCCCTCCTGGTAGCATTTATGGGGAACCCAAACGGCTCTCACCCAAAGAACGTGATGTAGTCGCAGCTCTGTGCCTGAGATGGGCCGCCCCCCCCGCCTCAGGCTCTGGACAAAAGCCGAGCTGACGTTCTTTGAGAACCCAGTCCCTCTGGAGGGAGGTCTGCGGTCAGGCATATGTGCGGGGGGCCCCTCTGAACGCAGAGGCAGACAGACACCTGAAGTGTGTGACGATGGAGCAGCCCTCAGCCAGCCTGGGGCGAGCTCCCTTTATGACAGGCTAGGAAGCAGCGCAGAGGGCACCGGGCCACCCACGTAGGGCCACCTGTCCAGGTGTGCAGCAGCGATGCTGGCCGGGGCGGGATCCAAGCTTCCCAGTTCCCAGGCCATACATCGGCTGCATCTCAGAATGCGTGTTACACAACTGGAAAGCATTCTGAAGCATAACTCGTGATGAGAATCCTGGGTATGGTGTCCCAGGAGTGGGGCAGAAATGCGTCGGTGGCCTCGTGTTCCCAGAGCAAGTGTGTCAGTGCTACGAAAGGTGTGGTGCCTAATCCATCATATTTACGGAGGACCCGCCAAAGGGGTGAGTGGGAGAGCGATGGGAGAAGGGACTGGGGGCCAGCCCGCCTCCCGGCTCAAGCATGTAGTGCTGTGTGGTGACGGGCAGGCTACCACCCCTCTCTGGGGCCAGCTCACTGGTCTATAAAATGAGCGTGGGGCTGGAGGGCCTGCGTGAGTTTCTACACTTGGCAAGGCTGCTGGCGCCGGTCTGGCCCTGGGGAAGCGCCCGCTCCATGCCCACTGTTGTGATTGTTACGTGGTGCCCGTCACTGCAGATCCATGACCTCATCCCATTCCATCCTCACCACCGCCTTGAGGTCGTTACCCCATTTGAGGGATGAGACATCTGAGGCTCCAAGAGGCTGAATAACTTGGTAATGAGCAGCAGAGCCAGATTTTCATCTAGATCGGGCCGGCTCCCTGGCCACGGGAGCCCAGAAGGTGCCTCTTCTCTGGGGTGCACAGGCTGGGTGTTCAGCCTTGGCCCCTCGGCCAGCTCTGTGCCATGGACAAGCTGCAGGACCCGTCACCACCGTCCTGGCTGAATCCAATGCCTCCCACTCCTGGGACTCCAGTCCAGACTCTAGTCCCAGCTCTGCCACTTCCCTGCTGGGTAACCTTGAGCAAATTCATTTGCTGAGCCTCAGTCCCCTTGTCTGTAAAATGGGCCTGCTGTGAGTATTTACAGCACAAGGCTGGGAAAGATAAATGACAGAGGGCCTGCACTGCTCTCACTCGGCAGGGCTCCCAGCACATGCTAGCTGCCCGATAATTGTGCGGCTTAGGGCTATGTTGTCACTCCCCAGCGCTCCAGCCCCCACCTCTTGAAGTACAGACTGTCTCCATCGCAGGGTTCTGCAAGAGAGGTTTCCTTTCCACAGCTCTTCCCTCCTGCCCACCTGGGCATCCAGCCTCATGCCTCCCAGGACCTGCCCAGGACGGGGGCATAGAAATGCAGGGAAACGCCAGGCTCCCTTGTCTGCGTAGCTCCACTGACATTTGGGGGTTGGCCCTCACAATTGTTTGGTCCCTGAACCTGCCAATGGCCACATCCAGTCACGCTTCCAGATCCCAGGCCAAACGAACAGCCACAGTTCTGAGATGCCACCAGAGACAGGTCCTGCAGATGGGACGCATTTCTGGCCCAGCGTGATAGATACGGACTCAGCCTCCCTCCGCCTTGCCCTTCCCATCTGCAGGACAGAGCCAGCGGCGCCCGCTTCGTCCTCAGGGTGCGCCGTGCACACAGGGAGTGCTCGGAAAACGGTCTGCCCCCAGGGGCGACTCCACTCCATCCCCAGTCCAGTGTCGCAGCAAGAGCCAAGAAAACGAGATCAAACCATAAGACATCGGCACAGGGATGAGTCCATCCCCCAGGCTCATCTAAGATGAAAAGACGTGCTTTGCTACGTCAAGATCACAGACCCATTAACTTTTAAAGCCCAGAGAGGAGGCTCAGGCCCTTTGAAGCCAACATAAATACAACTGTTTAACAGCTTACTTTAACCGTCCAGTGGGGGCCCAGCAGCTTAAATGGATTCACGCTGCCAGCAATCGCTTTTTGCGACACGGTGTTTGTTAGAAATTGGGGTTTTACTTCGCAAAATGTCCTGCGGTCGCCTCCGCTTTGTTTCTTAACAGCGCTGTCCTTATGTGAGTTTTCTTTGGCTTCCCAATAGAAGAGGAACAGATTCCTTTTGAAGTTTTTTATTGATGAATGAGCCGCTATAAATAACCCATCGTGGCAGCCGCCCGAGCTCTGAAGTTTACTCTGGAATAATAGTAGCCGAGGGAACCGAGGGCCGTTCACGGCAGCGTGTCATGAAATACTTTAATGGGCTTCATACTGTTTAACTTAATCTTTACAGATGTAAAAACAGAAATACAATTATTTTAACAACTATTATTACATATTGCTTTGCTAATGAAAACAAAGCCTTGGGAAGCACCGGGAGACACTGAGGGGGTCCTCAGGAGACCGCTGGACGCCGGCTGCGGGCGAGGAGCCCCCTGCGATGTGGGGACAGTTGGAGATTTTTGATTCCCCCCAAAGTCTCTTTCTGCCTCCCAAAACACACACACAACCACACACATGCAGCCACACACACACACACACACACGTCCTAATCACATGGTCGCACCGAGGGCAGCTTCTTGGAGCTGATTTCAGGCTCGGCTCTGCGGTATGAATTATGGGGCCCACGGAGAATTTCTGTTGCTGGGAAAGACAGCCGCTTGCTCTTAATGGAGCTCGAAGGACTTTTCCTGTTTCTCACAGTCCCCAGCTGCCACTCCGTCTCCTTGTTCCTAACCCTCCCCACCCCCCTCCCCACCACCCCAGCTTCCAAGAAGCACCCTCTCGCCAGAGGAGACTGGGATACAGCTCACTCAAAAACCTATAAATCCAGAGGTCGCGTCTGAGGCTTGAACGTTCTCCCTGCCCCGCAGGGACGTCGCGGAGATTAAAAATGGGACCCCTGGGTCTCGTCCACGGCGCTGTAAAGACTGCCCTCCTCTTTGATTCTTCGCGGAGGTCTTTGCCTGTGGAGGCGCATCCAGTTGAGAAATGCATTTTTCTCATGAGCTGCAACCTGAGCCCCCCCGACCCCCGCACTCCAGGCTGGGAGCTGGGAGCCCCCACTCGACCCTCCACCATATAGCTCTGTGCCTTGGGGAGCTCACTTCTCCATGCTCCTCGGTGGGGTCCTCACCAGTAAAATCAGGAGATCGTCTGGATTCTGAGCCATTTGGGAAATGACAGGATTGGACAGAGAGAAGTTAAAGATACTCATTTTGAAAGCTCAGCTGGAGACTGTGGCTTGTGTCCTCGGTGAACAGCAGACTTGACCACTAGTCCGTGGCTGCTCTAGACCCCCACAGCCCCCACCCCATAGTTGTGGGGGGAAGTGGGCAGATCCTTGAGAGCAAAATAGAGGGCAGCTCACTGCCAGGGGAGAAGAGCCAGGCTGTGGCCCTGGATGCCTGCCTGGCTCTGCCCATGTTTACAGGTCAAATAAGCCCCACCGCCACCCACCTGCCCTGGGCTGAGTGAGTGAAGGTGTGGAGAGCAGCCTCGCGTGGAAGGATGCATTTGGAATCTGGCAAGTGCCTTCCCGAGATTCTGCATCCTACAGGTAGTGACTGTCTACCATGCACCGAGCAGTCGGTTGCAGTAAGCTGAGGGACATTCCCTCCGGCAGGGGCATCAGACGTGGAGGAAGAAGCAGTCCTGTAACGAACATGTTTTGGACGCCTGCTTGCGTGGCAGGCACTGGGCTGGACATAATAGAAAAAAGGGGGCACCGCAAAAAATGAGGTGACCTCTGCCCGCATAGCGCTCATTGCGTAGTGGGGAGGGACAGACGCAAGACTCGTTATTGGGCAAATAATTGCTTAACTGCAGTTGGGACGAGTACTCTAAAGAGCTGTAGAATTCTAGAAAAGTGTGTGAA